CTTCTAAGTTCCCAGGAGGCTTTAATACTTACCTCCAGGTGAGAAGGTGCCGTAGATTCACAGCATGTTAGATGGGGATCAGACCTTACAAGCTGGATGGGCCAACCCTTCACTTGCCACGTAAGGAAACGGATCTGTAGACCAAGCAGAAAACTTGAGATCCTGCTGTGAAGCAGACTTGAGAAGCCAGAACACAGACCTGTCTGCTTAGGATTTGAGGGGATGAGGGAAGTGCAGCCATGGTTGTGACCAGGGCTGAGGCTGTGGGTACACCCTGTCTCTCTGCCCTCGCACTCTGGGATTGCTCCCTGCTGTGTGACTGGCCTTCAGAAACGCAACCCAGCTGCAGCGCAGGGGCGGGACCTGCAGGGAGCATCCGAAGGTCTCTGCTGTCCTCAGGCTAGTTTCTGCCAAAGCTGAACATCCGCTCATCCTGGTTGTCAGAACGCGCTCGTTTTAGCTTCATCTAGAGAATTGGGTAAAACCTGGTGGGACTTCATAAAGGACAAGCAGGCGAGCGGTCCCAGCCGGCTGTAGAGCCGGGGTCTAGGGTGTCTCACAGCATTACCCCCTCACTTTCAGGAACGGTCTCAATAGATTCTGCTGACTTGGCGGCTGTCAGCTGTCTCCTTTCAGTACTGTATAACCAAAACCCAAACCCACTCCCGTCGAGGCGATTCCGACTCTCAGCAATCCGTAAGGTTTCCAAGGCTGTCAATCACTACAGAGGCGGACTGCCACATGTTTCTCCCACGGAGCTGCTGGTGGTTTCCAACTGCCCGCCGTCCAGTTACCAGTCGACCGCTGTACCCACTGTGCCACCAGGGCTCCTTGATACTATGTCAGCAAGTTCTAAATCACCTAAATCGGTACTTTCGTAGACAGTGATGTGATTAAGAAAGCTTAACAGTTACTGTCGGTAGCTTTAGGAAAATGAGACAGACTGGCAGTGCCCGGGACACACTATGAAAATAGAAGTGAGCCTAGAAGAGGCCTTGAACCAGCCGATCACGGTTCCAGATTAAGGGGAAAGCAGAGACACAGGTTATTCCGTGGAGTTGCCCTCCCCACATATACACATATGCACACACATACACATGCTTACATACACAACACGCATTCACAGCACATGCACAACACACAGACATACAGACACACACATGCACACGTGCACAAATACACATACAGACACACGTACATACAGCACACACAATGCACATACACAACAATACACACATACACAGACACACACACAACATACACACCTCTACACACGTGCGCACACATACACGTACACACACACGTGTTCTCACATTTTCACACTGACACAAACATAAATTTAGAAGCTACCTACAATTTCAAGAACTGTCCCGTTTCTTTCTCTCCCCTTGCCCACCCTGAGAAAAATTCTACTAGCGTCAGAAAACCAGTGTTTTTTCATGCTGTCTTTTAGCTTTGGACAACCTTGTCAGAACTGAGAGACGTTAAATGGTGGAGTATTGTGTTTAACAGGGATATTTAGAGTGACTGCATTCTCAAACTGTTTTACAGTCACTGACCCACTATGAAGGTGAAGTAATTGATGTTATTTTGTGATCATATACATATAGGACTTTTCAGGTTGAGCAGGGGGTGAAGACCAGTTCATTCTCCTGTATTCTCACCTTTATCATCTGTACTAAGGTCACCTCTTGTCAAATAGGGAAGAATTTTAACTATTGTAGGATTTAAGCAGGGAGTGCTAACTTGAAGACTATGATATTATCTCCAAGCTGATACTTTAGATTTGAAGTACTGTGTCTTCCTAAAGAAAGACCTTTACACAGAGTAGCGCTGCAGGTGACTGTTCCTGCATTACCGTGTCTGATCTTACAAGGTCAACAATTCCTTGCAGCTCTAGGGCACTGGGCTCAGTTTGTCCTTGCTGTGGAATTCAGTTTTGATCATATGATTTGCTAGACAGGTGCTTTCTATGGCTTTAGATATTTTGTGTAACAGAACCTATTTAGAAGTATATTATTAGCAGTCTCAGCAAATACTGTCATGCTGTAAATTAGAAACCCTGTGACCTCCAAATCCAAACAACTAGGAGAGTTGTTTGACCTTGAATAGGTGTACAGAAGATTTTATCATCTTATTTCAATAACTCTTTCACTAGCTAAACTTTATAAGTTTACTTTAACCAAACGATCTGCTTAAACTATATCCTGGCAACAGAAATTGCCATTTCAGAAACGAAAGTAATTCACTATAAAACTTCTGATATATTTTTAAGTGATACCAAGTTCACCATTCACAAAAACAGCTCACTTCGCATTGGAAGTTTTTACTGTCCATCATTCACCGAGTCTTTTTGTCTGTCTGTGCTCCACGGCAGGCCCACTGCAGGGTCTGGGGTTTCTGTGGTGAGCGGGGTACAGAGCTGTGCCTTCGCGGCCTTGCTTTCTGGTGGCAGTGTGTTCACACATAGCAACGGACGGTTCCATCGTTTACAGAACTCCAAGTGTTGCGCTCTCACCAGTGTGTCATTGTTCAAAGAAACGGATTCCCCTCTAAAGCCCCACTGCCTCTGGCCACACGTGGTCGCTGAGCACTTGAAACGTGGCTGGTCCAAACCGACCAAGAGAGGTGCTGTAAGTGCGAAACGCGTAGCAAACTGCAAGAACAAGTGCAAAAAAGAGAATAAATGTTTACTGATTACCTATGGAAACTGCAATATTCTTATATATTGGGATAAGTTGTTGTTAGGTGCCATCGAGTCAGCTCCGACTCACAGCGGCCCCGTGGACAACAGAACGAAACACCACCCAGTCCCGCGCCATCCTCACAATCCTTGTTCTGCTTGAGCCCATCGTTGCAGCCGCTGTGTCCGTCCCTCTCTTTGAAGGTCTTCCTCTTTTTCGCTGACCCTCTACTTTACCAAGCATGATGTCCTTCTCCAGGGACTGATCCCTCCTGATAACATGTCCAAAGTACATAAGACAAAGCCTTGCAATCCTTGCTTCTAAGGAGCATTCTGGTTGTACTTCTTCCAAGACAGATTTGTTCCTTCTTTTGGCAGTCCATGGGATATTCAATATTCTTCGCCAACACCACAATTCAAAGGGATCAATTCTTCTTTGGCCTTCCCTATTCATGGTCCAGCTTTCACATGCATAAGAGGCGATTGAAAACACCATGGTTTGGGTCAGGTGCACCTTAGTCTCCAAGGTGACATCTTTGCTTTTCAACACTTTAAAGAGGTCTTTTGCAGCAGATTTGTATTGGGATAAGTAAGCTTATTAAAATTAATTTCTGTTGTTTCTTTTTGCTTTTTGTAATCTGGCTTCTAGAAAATTTTAAATTGTGTGTGTGATTCATGCTTGTGGCCTGCATTATATTTCTGTTAGACATCGACTGTCTGACAGAGTGTATGTCAAATATGTGTTTCAAAAATTGGAAGAGAGCACTAGAATCTTGTACGAGATAACAAGTATATATTGTAAACTTTCTAAAGCTTTGTGTTTTAGGAAACTAGTATGTAAATTATTTTTATCTTTTATGTTCTTTCTAAGAAATATATTTCAAGTATAGCCCAGTGCTTACCATCATCCGTGTGTGTGTGTGTGTGTGTGTGTGTGTGTGTGTGTGTGTGTGTATCATTCTGAAGTTGTTTTAAGGATCAAGCTTATTTTTAATAAAGTCGAAATTCAGTTACATTAAGTCAAATTTGTTATTAGAAACGTTACTGGATCTCAAAAAATTAAAAAAGCCTGTTTGGAATGTGGATGCATGTGGGAGGTTGGAGCAACCTAATAGAACTGAAGCCTTTGAAAGCGTCTCATCTTTTCTTTCTTATTTTTTCCATGTCTCCCTGTTGGAACCTTGCTGACTCCTCACCAAACAGTACGGTAAGACATCGGTTTCTCCTTCTCTCAGGCGTTTGCAGACTTCCTGCTTTAACAAGGCCGTGGCCGGGAAGCCGGCCCCTCCACCCGCGCACACCCGCCCCTTGTTCTGCCCGTCCCTTCTCACATGGAGCTCCCTGCAGGGCGGGGGTGTCCTGGGTGCATTTCCCCATTGCTATTTTTAGAACCATGTAGGAGTAGTAAAAGAGCCTGACAAGTGGGGAAAGGAAGAGAGAGAGAAGGAAGGAAGAGAGGAGAAAAGGTGAGCTGATCTCTCTCTGCTGGGCGGAGCCCCTTTTCATGGCTGAGTTTCCAAACAGTGCTACATCATAATGCTGCTCATTTCTGTTTGAACTTTCTTTTAGCCACAGTTTCCTTTAATGGAGTAAAATTATTTAATTTAATTTAATCCATTGAATCCAACATATGCTGATTTTCTCTTTTTAAGGATTAATCATGAAGTTCTTTTCCTAGAAACCGACTCATGACTAGCAGACAGAGCATACATCAAACATATATTTCAAACATTGGAAGGGAGCACTAGACTCTTGTCTTAGACAGCACGTATAATAAACTTTCTAAAGTTTGGTGTTTTAGGAAACTAGTATTGAAATCACTGTTATGTCCTCTTAGGAAACGCATTTCAGGCACAGCTCAGTGCTCACAGTGTGTCTACAGTTGTGAAGTTGCCGAGCTCGGCCTCACGTAACACCATAACACTCAGACTCGTCACACTCAAACCTTCAGCATGAGCATGTGGCCAGACCCCCCCAGGCACGCTGGGCTCCAGGTGGACGCCCTGGCGGGTCACTGCATCAGCACTCAGCTGCCTCTGGGGCCTTCCTAGAGTCATTCCCAAGGCTCTGCTGGGCCCCGAGGGTCTGTGCCTTCTTGCGGAGCAAGGGACAGAGGTTAAACGGGGCAAGAGGAGGGAGGCCCGCAAGGAGGCCAGCTCAGAAAGTGGGGGGATCCCTGTGCAATAGTGGGAAGTGCAGCACCGCACCAAGACTAAAGGGGCACACCAGCCCAGGGGCAAGGACGAGAAGGCAGGAGGGGACAGCCAAGTTGATAACAGAAACCCAAGGTCAAGAGGGGGAGAGTGTTGACAGGTCGTGGGGTTAGCAACCGATATCACAAAGCAATACGTGTACTAATTATTTAATGGAAGCTACTTTGCCCTATAAACTTTCATCTAAAGCACAATAAAATAAATAAATAAAAATGAAAGTGCAACAACGCGGTGACACCTGACAAAGGCCAGATGGGAAGAGCAGCAAGTACGGGGGACAGGCACTGTCGCTTACTAGGTGGGAAGAGCAGCAGGTACACGGGACAGGCATTGTCCCTTACCAGGTGGGAAGAGCAGCAGGGACAGAGGGGCAGGCACTGTCCCTTACCAGGTGGGAAGAGCAGCAGGGACAGAGGGGCAGGCACTGTCCCTTACCAGGTGGGAAGAGCAGCAGGGACAGAGGGGCAGGCACTGTCCCTTACCAGGTGGGAAGAGCAGCAGGGACAGAGGGGCAGGCACTGTCCCATACCAGGTGGGAAGAGCAGCAGGGACAGAGGGGACAGGCACTGTCCCTTACCAGAAGTCTGGTGGGCAGGAGCAAAGTCTAAATTTGGGGAATCCTGAATTCTCAGCAGGGAGGGAGGTCTGACTCAGATCATCTCCAATCTGAAGACACAGGACCAGTGAGGCAACCCAGAATCTCTCAGGTTCTATCTTAAATACCAGCTGTGCCTTTGTACGGTTAATAACTTGGACATTGAACCCTGAAGAACTTACATGGTGGCCCTGTAGTGCTCTCAAAACTTAGGTAAACATGTGCCACATGTCTTACATTTGTGGGTATTTAAATAACACTTCAAAATACGTTTCTGGCATTCCACATGTGATCCACGTTTATTTTCCCTGGGTTTCCTTGGTTTCCCCCTTCTCACATAATTTTGAATTTTAACAACTGGTCAACAATAGAAAAGCACGGTCTAGAAACGTATTTGCTGCTCCGACTTTATCTTAGACACTCTGCTAGGCAGAAGTAAAGGCAGGACCATTTTTTGTTTAATCTTCTCATAACTAAGGTCACTTAGCCAACAGTGTGTGGTTTGTTTCAGGTTTTAAAACATTGTTTGCAACTTCTACATTAATAAAACAATTGTGAGCTTTAATGGACAAAACCCACTGGACTTCTTTCATCTTGGCCCGCGAGGTTAAGTGAGAAGTGGCTGCTGTTAGACACGGGCAGCTTAACTTTGGTGTCCGTGGACGGCTGTGGTTGTGGAATGAAAACTGTTGGTACTTTTTATTATTATTACGTTCTTGCTGTTACTTCGGAAGTACTTTCCAATCTTAATTTCTTAGTATCTGGGGCCTCAGGTGTAGATTTCCCAGTTCTCTGATCTTAGTATAGCTCATAGGAACTGAAAAACAATTTCTTCCCTTGTTAAGACCCTTTCTTCAGAAAAAGTATCCAATGTATGTTCTACAATCTGGGAAATGTTGATAAATAACTTAGTGAAAATTTGAAGAAACAAAAAGTTTTGATAGATTTAAACATGACATCATAGAGAATAGTTTTAACGAAGTTGAAGTTTGGCAAGAGGGAATTGTATCAGAAGGTAACCTCAGCTTGACTAAATGGGCAGCTTCTGTCGGGAGGTGAGATGAGAAGGCAGAGAGGGTTAGGAGCTGGGAAATCGGGGGTGGAAAGGAGGAGTGTGCTGTCACAGAATAGGGAGAGCAATTAGGGTCACCTAACAATGTATGTATAAATTTTTGTATGAGAAACTGACTTGAAATATAAACTTTCACTTAAACTACAACAATAAGCAAAAAATAAAAAGGAAGTTAACCTCATCTTAGTTAGACAACCAGAGATTAAACCAAGTCTAAACGAGACAGATTAAACCAAAACCAAACCAAACCCGTTGCCGTTAAGTCGATTCTGACTCATGGCAACCCATGTGTGTCAGAGTAGAACTGGGCTCCGCAGGGTTTTCAAGGCTGTGATTTTTCGGAAGCCAATTGCCTGTCTTCTGAGGCACCTCTGGGTGGGTTCGAACCGCCAACCTTTTGGGTAGTAGTCAAACATTTAACCACTTGTGCCACGCAGGGACTCCATACAGGACTTTGATGTAATCTGGAAATTGGTAGGGACCTTGGTAGACTGCAAATTCATGGACAAATACTTGAACAAGCAAATCCCAAACTACTAACCATCCACACCTTAACCCAGTCCATCCAGCAGGATGTAAGCATGGAGGCTTGTTTTCACAAGTTCCACATTATTGTTTAAAGTATGTGAGTTGCAGCTGTTCACAGTCCCACCCTGACTCTTCCTTTTTTCCTTGCATTTTTTTTAGCACTTCTGGGGACCTGTAGCCAACTGGGGCCTTCCCATTGCTGCCATCAGTGACATGAAGAAGTCCCCAGAGATCATCAGTGGTCGGATGACATTTGGTAAGGATGCATGCTCAAGTAACTGGGAGGAAAGCAAGTGGAGGTTTACCATCGAGGCAGTCCCATCTCATAGCGACACTACAGTTGTGTGATAGCACAGCTGAATTAGTATGATTTGTTCCTTAAATTGGACACATGCCTGATTGTATCATGGGCATTTGGGTCACATCAGTACAGTCTGGTATGAATAGCACTGGATGAATTTCACTTTAGTTTGATCACAATATATATACAAGATAATCGAAGAACTTTTATTGGCTACCCTAATCAATGCATCTTCTTTTGATACTTCCTGCTTCATTTAATATTTTCCCCTTAGAATCCTTTGATACTGCAATTTGAGGCTTAAATTTTTCCTTCAGTTCTTTCAGCTTGAGGGATGCCAAGCATATTCTTCCCCTTTGGTTTTCTATCTCCAGCTCTTTGCACGTTACATTATAATACTTCACTTTGTCTTCTCGAGCTGCCCTTTGAAATCTTCTGTTCAGCTCTGGAAGCATCAAAAGCAGATGAAAGGAATACACAGAGTCAGTGTACCAAAAAGAATTGGTCAACATTCCACCATTTCAAGAGGTAGCATATGATCAGGAACCGATGGTACCGCAGGTAGAAGTCCAAGCTGCACTGAAGGCATTGGTGAAAAACAAGTCTCCGGGAATTGACGGAATATCTATTGAGATGTTCCAACAAACGGATGCAGTGCTGGAAGTGCTCACTCATCTATGCCAAGAAATTTGGAAGACAGCTCTGGCCAACCGACTGGAAGAGATCCATACTTATGCCTATTCCCAAGAAAGGTGATCCAACTGAATGCAGAAATTATTGAACAATATCATTAGTATCATGCGCAAGTAAAATGTTGCTGAATATTATTCAAAACCGGTGGCAGCAGTACATTGACAAGGAACTGCCAGAAATTCAAGCTGGATTCAGAAGAGGACATGGAACCAGGGATATCATTGCTGATGTCAGATGGATCCTGGCTGAAAGCAGAGAATACCAGAAAGATGTTTACCTG